TAACTATGAGCATTTCTGTCACATGTCTAGTTTGCAGCCATTTACAAATTTTGTGCACCACATACACGCATATTGGACGAAGTTCTTTGTTCACTGCTATATTTATGACAAACTAGGTGTCTGATTAATATGCGTATTGTAGGATTCTTATGGGAAATCTGTTCGAAAATATGTACAAACAGTGGTTATAAATTTTGAAGGGAAATGTTATAATCTACCACTGTTCTGTTCAATTAGAGTGTTCTCCAATTAACAGCAGTAGATTAGAGCATTCTCCGATTTTTAATCAAACATAGAACCACATGGACGCTAAAAAGACAAGAAAGTGCACAAAACATGTTATTTGTACGACTTATTTGCCCGTTTGGTGTCTCCCCGTTTCAACTTTCGAATTAAACGTTCATAACCAATGGTATAGGTAGTTCATCAAAGTAAACCTACTATGGCTATCGTTTGTCAAAAGAAAATAAAATATGATCAATCCCAAGCAAAAAGTCTTATCAGAGCCTTCGCCTTTTTCAATTAAACCTAACTCCAAAACTCATTAAAAATTGGTATGAGCAGGGATTCGAATTTGGGTGTAAAGAAATGGATCATACTGCCATGACTAACGACTAAACCATCTCAGGAGAAGCTTGGTTTCTAGTAAGATATTCGAACTTGTGTGTAAAGAGATGGCTGACATCTAACCACGGGAAACTTCTTTTTTCACACAAGCGATTCTCATTAAAACTGCATGGGCGCGGGTTTTTTTTTTTGGGGGGGGGGTGGGGGTGGGGGGGGGTGGGGTGGGTGGGTGCGCGGGGTGGTGGTGCCTTGTTGGGTTTGTGGAGATGGAGGAGCATCTCGGCTCTAACCAACGTAAATACGCCAACATCTACATATGCCAAACTTCATGAAGAAAATAGGGATTTTTCTTGCATATTCATGTAAACATGGGTATAAAGAACTTGGGAGATTGAGAACTTGTTAATTAGAGATGATAAATATGAAATGAATTTCATTTATCCAATTTTTGAATTGAGCAGGCAACTCAGATTCCAATCAGAGATGATCCAAAAGCAAATGAAGCAGCATTGGAGATGTAAAAGCAGGACATGATGGAACATGGGCAGCTCACCCAGGGTTAATCCCAGCCTGCATGGATATCTTCACAAACAACATGCCACCCAACAACCCTAATCAAATCAATCCATGAGAAGAGAAGATGAATCCACCATATTAGAATAAGACCTCCTCTAGAGGCCTCGGGGAGTCCGAACCCTAGAAGGTCTCTGGCTCAACACCCGGGTAGGGATCCAGTACGTGACAGCATGGCTCACCGGGACGGGCTCAGTGCCACTCTACAACCTCATGGAGGATGCTGCCACGGCGGAAATAAGCTGGCAGTGGATCAAGTATGGGGTGGAGTCGGACAGAGACGGGATCGGAGTGAGGGTTGAGAAGGAGCTGTTTGGAAGAGGGGTGGAGGAAGAAATGGAGAGGATTGAGAGAGAGGTTGGGAAGGAGAAGTTTAAGAAGGGAATGTATAAGGAGGTTCGCAGGATTTTCACCAGGCAATGCACTTCTCAAATACTTGATGATTTTCTCACTCTGGATGCCTACAATCGCATTGTGCTACACTACCCAAAGGGATTAACGAGGCTCTGATTACATTCACATCTTCATCATCTACTTTTCTATGTTTACTAGGCCAAATTAATAAAAATTGTTCTCCAATAACTGGAATTGATCATTTTATCGATTTATGATGAGTGACTTAATGGACCATTGGAATTGTGTTATTAATTGGAAATCATTGGAAGTATAAGATCTAATATATCTGTGTTGACTTCATGCAATCCAAAAGTACTTCTGTGAAAATGGATGAGTAATTTTTTCGGGGTGACTATCACACTGACATGGAGCCTGCAGGATCACGTCCTCAGCAATCTACAATCTACATAGTTTCCAAATGTTGTATATAGTTTTTGTTCTTGTAGGAAGTGCTTAGTGCAAACGATGTAATAACTTATGTTCACATAATCAAGGATGAAGTACTTCAAACATTTGCCAAATTGAAAGGAAAAACTGGATATAAAAAAAAGAAAAAAAAAAAGAAGAGGGACTTTTAGTTTGATGTGCGAGTGTGCTACCATGTGGCCTAGATTGGTCAACGTAGAAAAGATGTGAATGTGACTGTGTTTGCACCTTGGATTTGATTATAATCAAATGATGTGTAGCCAAGCAAGGAACCCCTTATCGGCTTGAGTGCTTTCTCTACCTCGTATTCAAGGTTTGAGCGAACCACCAACTGATAAAATGTATGGGTTGAGGTGAAGATGAAAAATGTTAAATTAAAAGAAATCACATGTAAAAGAGATTAAATTTAATTAAATTGCGAAAAAATAAATTACGAGTGCTTAAAATAAAAGTGCTTTGAAAGGAAATAGAATTGTAAAGATGAGAAGAAAGGTAAAGTGTGTAATATAAAGAATCGAAAGCCAAGTGTGTGGACTAAATTTCGTTCTGTATTCCTCTGTTTCAAAAAAATTTGCAAGGAAAATGAAGATCGTACTTTGCAGAAAACTAAACAAGCTTGAAAGGGACGAAGTTATAGATTATGGCTTTTCTTGACACTGCAAAGTCTACAATTTACAAACTGAAAGTTAATGATTAAATTTTGTCATTTCTTCTTACTCTTGATGCCATTATAAAGTTTCAAACCTTACTTTTTTTAACAGAAATTCAAATGACTGAATACACACACACACACACACACACACACACACGAGCTGTTCAACACACTGAGCATGATAAATTAGCAAAGCCATCTAGCCAAAAAAAAAGAAAAAAAAAATTTGAATTAGCAAACCCTATGTAGAATTACATCTGGAATTTAAAATCGAATGATTGAGCCTATTTAGAATTTGCATGCTTTCACACCACCAGTCCGCCAATCAAAAAACAAGGCTCCCTTCTGAAGCTACTAAAACTTTTATCTCATGCGAAAGGCTGAAGAATAATAATATTAGAATACATTCAAAAAATGATCTTGGGGTGTATTCATATTTTTATTTATTTTTTAAAAATTTTATAGGGCTCAAATAGTCATTCACACAAGAGTAAACAAGTTATTTAATAATAATTTTTTATGTGGCATGTGTTTGACAATATCTTGAGTGTTAATAAAACAATAAAAAAAAGGAAACTTTAGATTGATTCATGATATATATTAATTAGTAGGAAAAAATAATTAGGAGAATTTTAAATATAAAAAATGATAAAAGATTACATTTGAGACTTGTCACGTAGCGAGCTTTGAGTGGATTGCAATGCCACTCAATGAAGTCAATTGGTAAGTTAGGTCCTAAACAAGTTTTTCTTTGAAAACGGGAGGCATATTCCAGCACAACTGAAAGATCAGAAATGTTAAGGAGATCTTCGTAGACTTTCTAGACTCTCAAAAGTAAAACTTTTATAAAATCTCTACCATATCATAATTTAACGATAATTCTTATGCAAAATACGAAGTAATATAGAGTTTATAAAAAAAATTTACTTTTAAAAAAATTCTAAAAAGTTTAATTTCCTCAAGATTTCTGAATTTTCGGTTGTGTTGGATTATACGACTCCCATGGTCGATTGGGCAAGAGTCTCGAAGGTTCATAATATATTCGTGTTGGACCAATCACTACAGTACTATGTCTTTGTGCAACACGACACCTCCACCTGTGTGGGGTTTGCATGCAGAGAAGAAAGAAGGGTACGTGGTGCAATAAAGAAAGAGAGAGGATGAACGGATCGACTTTCAATTCCAACAGATCATTCAAAGATTTGCTCAAACCTGTCAAAGTAAACACATATACATACAACTCAATCCCCTCCACCTGTCCTCCCAACCAGCCACATGCTACTTCTCTTTTTCTCTCTCTCTCGCCTCCCTCCCTCCCTCTCTCTCCAACCTCAACAGATTAAAGCAACAGCTTTTTCTACAACACACATGACAACCACGATAGATTCTTTACCCCTACGTCTTTTAACACGTGTACTTATTATGAAAATGGGAGATTGAGACACGAGGAGACGAGAGATTTTACTGTATAATCTATAACATCGTTTTGCCAACACGAGAAATTATACAACATAATCAGAAACAACTTCAAATCTACATCTTTTAACACGTGTATTTATTACGTCACGAGAGAAATAAATTGAGACACGAGAAGACGAGAGATTCTATTGAGTGATCGATAAACATCTTTTTACTTATATATCATCATTGTGTCTAACACGTGTATTTATTGTATCACGAGAGAAATAAATTGAGATACGAGAAGACGAGAGATTCTATTGAGTGATCAATAAACATCTTTTTACCTATATCACATCATTGTGTCAAGAGAGTAGAAGAATGAGATACGAAGAGTGACGAGAGATTCCACTGTGAAACCACATCTTTGTGTTTACATCTCTTCATTGTGTCATGAGAGAAGAAGCAGATTGAGACATGGGGAGACAACAGATATTCCGCTGTGTAATTAAAAACATTTATATTCACATCTCTTAACACCTGTAACTAATCGTGTTAAGAGAATAGGAAATTAATACACGTAAAATCTATCTACGTGTATGTTAGAATCTATACCTCTCAACTCAAACCAAACCTACTCAAACATTCAAATTTGTTTCCAACTACATGTTCTATTTGACAAAACGAGAGATTATATTGTAACCGGAGGCACATCCTCGTATTTACATCTCTTAACACCCATGTTAATTGCATATCTCTTAACAGGGGTATTTCTTATACGAGTTTTTACCAAGACACTATACACGACATCAATGTTACTTCCAGTAGCATCTAAGAATTCTCATAACGCTTTCTCTCTCCCTCCAAATCAAACCCAACGCCTAGTCCAAACTTAATTAGTCTTTCCTTACAATCCATTCATGTAACGTGCAACAACATAATTAATAAACTGTAAACAGAAATCAAAACCAAAATCCAACACCAAATGTGCACAAGATGATGTTCTTTGATTGCATGAAGAACAAGATACATGATATTCGAACATTCAAATTCGCTTCCCACTACATGTTCGATTTAACGAAAAAACGCCCAGATCACAGAGAGCTTAGAGTAAGGATTTCAAAATGTCAAGTGCCCAAAATATTCACAATTATTAATTGAAAGTAACTAATTAAAACGCAAAGCAAACTTTAATTAATTAGTTGATCTCTCTGTCACTTACTCATACGGCACTGATAAAATTACTACAACCACCCAAAGAAAGAGCTGCCTTTACATCCAGCCTCCACGCAAACCCACCACCCAACATCCTCCAAACGTCACACGGCAGCGTCAACGAGCTCCAATCCCCTGCCGACGTCCCACCACCACACCCACTGTACTGCACCCTCACCCTGCACGTGAACGCCGCCGTATAATTACTCATCGCTCCCACCGCCCTCGCTGCCTTCTCGTTCATCACCAGCCACACCATCATCTCCCCCTCCCTTTGCCCCACCATGCTCCGGTACGCCCCATTCGTCCACACCACCCTCCCCGTCCCGTCGGAAATAAACCCTGGACACGTGTCCCTCTCCAGGTTCATCCTCCTCTCCCCGTCCGTACACCCTAGCCCCTCCCCTTCCACCCACGTATCCGTCACGCAGTCCACCGTCACGCACGATTTCCCAACCACCTTCGCCGCCACCACCTTACTTATACGACTTGTCGGAGAAGTCGTAGAAGTAGAATTATTATTATCGAAACTCATCCACGTGGTGGATGAGTAACTCGAGCAGGAGTTCCTTTCTCTCTCCTCAGAAGACTCCTTTGGTTCCGGAGTCTCCGGCAACAGAGGCAGCGTCACAACCGTCTTTTCCTCCTCCGCCTTCGACGATCTCCTTCTTTTATTTTTATTTTTGTCATTTGGGTCAACTACCGCTTTGCGCCCTGACTTCACAGACCGTGATCTTTTCCCTCTCCCCCTCCCACTCTTAACGTACAAGTCACCCTTCTCCGGTGTTGATCCTCCTCCGTTGACCGGCTTCGGCGCGATCGGTCTGAACTTTAACATTATCCTGTCCACCTTCGACATGTCATATTCTCCGCCGCTACCATATCCGTACCTCGCTATGCAACAGCCGCCTCTTCCGTCCATATCTCTTCTCTCTTCTCTTCGTTTTGGCTATAACTCCAGTGTTTTTCTTTCTAACGCGTCAGGGTTCTCTTATTTTCTTGCACTCAAACGCCGATTGCTGAAGAATGGAGGTGGTGGGATTTATAACAGCGAGGAGGTAGACACGTATGGATGAAGACACGTGTGTCAATAGTTACCCAAAAAGCACGGGCAGGTGATTGGATGGGAGCTGAGACGTGGCGTTACGGTGTGGCGGGGCCACGTGAACGACAAATTTGTCAGTGAAAGAAGGGTAAGGGTAATGATAGGACAAAGTTTTGTAACGAGTAATGTTATTATTACCATAATTTTATATTATATTTCTCTATCATCTTGGGTGACAGATAAGTTAGACAAGCTACATCATTTAATTTCAATTTTTTATTAATTAAAACACTTAAATAATTTTAGGTGGAAGATGGAGACTCCTCGTATACCACAATCATCATTTAATCAACAATCTTTTTATTAATTAAAACATTTAAATAATTTTAGGTGGAAGACGAAGACTCCTCGTATACCACAATCATCATTTAATTAACAATTTTTTTATTAATTATTGATTAACATTTTGATTAAATGCTAATTAATTTAGATGATGTGGCTATCCATCTCATCTGTCATCTAAGATAGTAAATAAATGTGATATAAAATTGTAGTAAGAATAACATTATTGTTTTGTAAATGAGTAACATTTTTACCTAATCTTAGATGATATCTGATGTGAATAGCCATATCATTTGACAAATTAGCAAAACTCAAGGAAATAAAGGAGAAAGAGGCATTGTATACCACACTATTGATTTAATTAACTAGTTTTTCTTAATTATTAGTTTATTAAATAATGAACCAAATTTAAAAATCTGATTAATTCAAATGATGTAGTTGTCCACATCAGATGTCACCTAAAGTAATATGAAATTGTGGTACAAAAACATGGTATGAATAACATTATTCTTTGTAAATTAAGTAAATTTTTATTTAATTAAATGTTGATTAGCGTGCTTATTTTTATTGGTGTTTACTTAAAAAGATTAAATGTGTAGACAAAATTAGTAATGGTAGAGAGACTAAATTTATATGAGAGAGACTAATTTTATAGACAAAATTTGCAAACTAAATGATAAGTCGCCAATAGAATGTCCAAGGTTACCAATGTTTAAGTCATAATCCAAGCATCAACTTCCATGTCATTTAATTAACAAGTGCCTACAAATTTAGTCTTCCTAGTATTACCCATAGAAAATTTTGTACATAGAAGTTGATGGCTGGATTATTATTGTGTTGTTGATTAACGTACTTATTTCTTATTAGTGACATGCATTTAGCTTGCAAATTTTTATAAATTTAGTCTACCTAACAATACTAATGAAATAATAATAAAAAATAGTATTAGTCTAATATTCTAGTGAAATGAGTATTACGTTTTCCTTGGTTATTTTTTATAATTTAAAAAAATATAATATTTCGCATGTTATAATACAAGTTGAAGACATAAATAATAGTACTTATAGGGATTAATTACATCTACACCTCTTAAGATTTTTCTAGTTTTTACAAAACCCCTTCTGTTTCAAATGTGACACAAATTACCCTAACGTTTCAAAATCTTTTCACAAACTCGTTAAGATTTCATTAATCTGACGTTGACATTAGTATAAAATAATTTTAATATGAAAAGTACCCTCATAGCTATCCCAATTAGGAATAATATGTTCTCTACTGCTCTCTTTATAAATATTGTGCTACGAAATAGAATAACAACAATCTCAATACTGAATGAAGCAGACAGGCCATGCTTTGGCAACTCAGCATATTAGACAAGATCAAACACAATGGTATATTTGAAAAATTATTTTAAAAGGAAAATCTATTTTATATATATATATATATATATATATATATATATATTCATTTGTTTTTCTGGGTTTATGCATTGTTTCACAAATTCTATCGTTTCTCCAAACTAAAACCCATAATTTTGTCCCTTAACAGATACAGCGGTTCGTTCTTGTTATGACATATGTCTTTCTATTTATCTTTTGTGTTTTATCCATTATTTTAAACAACTAGTTCCGATTTTCCTGCATGTGAAAGAGAGGACAAAGGAAGGGAGGGCGTTTCCAACGGTGCAAGACTTTCTACTCTTCTATTTCCATCTCTTTTTATTTCTTCATTTCACACATTATTCTTTGTCTTATTATCTCTATTAAAAAATAAATATAAGATGTTGACGTGATTTAACTGTGACCGTTTAAATAAGAGAACATGGAAGAGTAAAAAGATTAGGAGGGTAGAGAATCCTTCTATGTTTCCAACATACTCATTTCAATCTTCATAATTGAAATAAATCAAATTAATAATCATGTCTCTCTTTTTTCTAACAATTACAGGAAATTGAATTTGCCTCTTTTTCTTTTATAAATTCCATCATTAAGATTTCATCGGAATCTTCAACTACGACAGCGATCACGGCTGAGTCCATTCGCCAGTCCTTCCACGCCAGGAGACCAACGGGCGCGACCCTTCTGAGTTGGCGAAAAAAAGAAGAAAAGAAGAATTCAATTTTTCAAAGCTCACAAGCATAAGAGGAAAAGAGAAAATTAGAAGAAAGCTAGAGAATCATACCACGTTGTTTGCCCATTGAATTTTCAATTTTCTTGCGATTGTGTGTTTTATCCTTGCTGTTGATTTTTTTAATTGAGAAAACACTGTTGATTTTAACACAAGAAGGGAAAGAAGAAAAAAAAAAAGTAACTACAAATTCTTAGATGCTTGGCACATTAGGGGTTTCTTTTTTTTTTTTTTTGGGTCAAGGGTTTCTATTTTTGGTATTTCCACCATTTTTTCACGTCTGGTAGGGTTTTTTGCCATAGTAAGTGGGTTTGTGAAAAGATTTTGAAACGTCAGGAAGTGTTTGTAAGGCTGGAAAAAAAAGAAAAAACCAAAAAAAGGAACGCATCCGAACCATACTGAAACCGACCCCCCAAAAAAAAAACTTATAACCATTCAGTAACCATAAACCGAAAACATCCTGAAAGTTTGGTGAATTGGGACCTCATCGTTGTATGTTTGGTAATACCAAACCGAAGTTAATAATATACATAAGTTTTTATTTATTTATCTCTACTAATTAATAAAACACACATTGTCAATCAAAATTCTATAAAATTACCACTTTAACCATCTAATTAAAACATAACATGAATAAGAAATATGAAACAGAAATGTAATTTCACACAACCAAATTTTGTTTTTTTTTTTAAGTCTTACCTATATGTAATCATAACCATCCCGAACCTCTCTGTCTCTCTCTTTGACACTTTCTGTTTCTCCTATCCAGCATCATTCCCCACAATCAACTCCCCTATCATCTCGCCATCAACACAATATGTGTGCTCTCACTCCAATATTCAAGATAAGATGCATATAACTGAGGGCTGATTTGTTATTGTTGTACTTTGAAAAAAAAATTACTTCTGTTGTGCTGTGAGAATAAGCAGTTATGAAATAAAACAGCAGAGTGTTTGGTAAACTTTTTTGTAAAAGTGCTTTTGAAAAAAAAAAAAAAAAAAGTATTATAGTGTTTAATAAACTTTTATGTAAAACAAATGTGAAAAAAAAGCTGGTTTTTCAAAGCTGGTTTTTGCAGCTTTGTGTTTTTGGCTTTTTTTTCATCCAAAACTGTGAAAAAAACTGAAGCTGAATATTTACCAAACATAAAAATGCTCCCAGCTTTTTTTATAGCCTTTTTTTTTTTCAGAATCATCTCAGTATCAAACTAGGCTAAGATTTGGGTTCTGGTTAGGGCTGGGCACGGGCCGGGCCGGGCCCAATTTTGAAGGGACCGGACCGGACCTAAGTTCAAAGAGAACGGGCCGGGCCGGGCCGAGGATTACATTTTTTAATATAAGAACCGGACATTACCCGGCCCGATTGGAACGGGCCGGTTCGGGCCGGGTCCACGGGTCCCTTTTTTTTTCTTTTTTTTTTTTTTTAGTTGTTTGAAAGAAAAAAAAAATTGTACAGAACTAAATACAAAGTTAAGTCTGAATTCCCGCTTGTCTGAGGTGGGCTTGATTTATGAGAATCACGCTGCATCCATGAAGGAAAACCAAGAGATGCAGTGCCTGGACTTGCAGGAACATGAGAATTCCCTAGGTTCTCTACATAGTCCTGTGAATCATCGTATGTATTGTTTAAATCAATGTCATTTAACTGGAACCTTCTACTTGCAGCTTCCGGTGTAACTGATTTGGATTCAGAACTGTCTCTTGACGCAGGTAGTATCGGACAGTGTCCTTTAGACCTTAAAGGGTCCTCAGTATTAACACCAGCATTCATATCTAGAACCTTTAGTGCAGTCTGGACAGATGTCCCACTGTCAAATAAACCTTGAGATCCCTGCAGCAATGTAGATATGTTTCTTCCATCAGCCGTACCAGCAACATTGGCTAAGCTCCTCAACAAATGAGATACGACATCCTGATCCTTTGTTTGATCAGAACTACTAGCTGCAATTTATATATGGCATAATATGTGGATTCAAATAAGTCTGAGATAGAATGCTTCACTAAGACAGAAGTGTACAATGAATAAGGCAAGTACTTACAGTGCATATTTGAGAGTATTCTCAGCAAGCTAATCAATAAATAACTGCTTCCGCTTTCATTGTTTAAAGAGCCTCCATTAACTGCAGTATCAGGATGTGCTTTTCTTCTCCTCCTATTATGGCCAGCCAAACGCCTACGGCAACTTCTCTTCCCTTCATCAAACTCTTGAAGAAGATTGATGAACAAAAGAAACCTGTCCATGAGTGTTAACCCCGTTACATTTAATTCAACAAAAGAAAACTTCTGCAGAACTCAACAATACCAAAAGAAGATTGATGAACAGCCACGGACAACAAACAAACGCATGACAAAAAAATTTACACAACCAAACTCTGTATTTCAAGTTAATTCAAGAAAATCAGGGAAATGTTTCAACCAAATAATGAATAACAATAGGATGGAACCAACCTGCTACACTGTTGACAGAACCGCTGCAAAACACTTCCAACCAGCGCTTCAGTTGCCTTAGAATGCATATCACAGACCTTATGCCTCCGGTGATAATCCTTGGCATTGCTAAGATCAGTCTTACAGTCCTCCACCTGACAAACTGCACGGTTTGAAGTAGTCCCAAATTCCCAAATTCCCACTAAAACCCCACCAAAAACAAGAACATCACACACACAATTTCACCTTAATTTAAGAACTCAACAAAACCCCTAAATCTAGAAAACCCTAATTTCATTTTGAACATAAAAATGTAAACCCAGAGAACTCACTCACTGCAAATCCAACTCACCCCCAACACATTTCAACAGAGAAACCAAACTAAATCCCAAAAGAACAAAAACCCAGCTCCAAAAATCAAATAAAAACAGACCCAGATGACCATTTCAATCAAATCACAACCAAAAAACAAGCAAGATCCATGTGAAAATCGCAGCAAATGAAAGGAAGCAGAAGAAAATATTTACCTTGCTGGGTACACGAGTTGTTCGACTTCATTGTTCGTCCCCTTAAGTTTGTCAGAGGGAGAGAAACTGATTTCCAGAGAGTGAGTCAGGAAAATAGATCGAAGCTTGATGATGATGGCAGCGGACGGAGGGAGGAAGATAGAAGCAAATCAGGATGAGAGAGGTCTGAATGATGATGGTAGCGGTGGTGTATGGAGCTAGGATGATCGGAGAGAGTTAGGAGGAGAGAGGTCTGAGTGAAATGAGAGGAGTCGGGAGGAGAGTTCGAGAAGACTAGGAAGAGGAAACAATTTCTTCTATTATTCATTCTAGAAACGGGCCGGGCCGGGGGCCCGTCCACTTCTATTTCAAGATCCGCCCCGCCCCGTCAATATGGTATACCCGAACCGCCCCGCCCCGTTTTGTGTTTAGAAATTTTGGACCCGGCCCTTACCCGCCCCAAACAACGGGTACCCGCCCCTACCCGCGGGTCCAGGACCCGTTTGCCCAGCCCTAGTTCTGGTGATATTTTGATTTTAGCTTTGAAAATCGAATTGGGGCATTTGATTGAAAGGTCGTGGACACCACCTGCTTTAGATGGGAATCGACGACAAATCTGTTAAAATGGCTAGCGTCATGGGGCAGTGGACTAAGAAGCTGGGCGGTGAACGAGACAAAAATGGGTTAACCGAATACCGAACTTTTCTTTTCAGTTTTCATGATTCTCGGTAAACCGAAAAAATCGATTTTGTTTGGGGTATTTTTTTTCCTTTACATAAATTTATCAATTAAGGTTTTTTTGGATGGGGTTTTAAACCAAACCAAGGTGTTTGTGTTTCGTTGGAACTTGAGGAGGTTTTGTGAAAATTCGAGAAACTTCATAAAGTGTATCTGTAAATAACTCTTTTGTAAATACACATCTAGATGTATTACTCGTGTTATAATGTTGATGAAAATACAAAGTTGATTATAATGTTGATGAAAATACAAAGTTGATAAGGTTTAGTAACAATAAATTAATGAGTTATGAGTTATAATTTAAGTACAATGGTAAGTATCAAGTAGGAAGTGCTTGAGAGACTATGTTTTCATACCTTATATTCTAGATCACATAATGTGGTGAATGATAATCGGGTTCCTTCTTTAATGATTTAGAGAAGAATCCAACTATCGGTCGCCCCATTTTGTGATCTATTAAAATAATTTAAGTAGATAGTCTCTCCATTTGGTAAAAAAATTTTTCATTGTGATCGGAACACTGATGGTATATCACGTGTTTTTATGTAAGTGACAAAAAATTTTATTTTTTAAGTTATTAACTATTTAACATACATATCTTATCATTTATACAGTAAGAAGTAGAGTATTATTCCGTATACCGATCACATTAAAAAATAACTTTATAAATAAAAATTGTGTGGGCCACGTTGAAGAACCAATGGGAGAGAGAGATGTGTAAAGGCCAAAAGAGAGTAATTTTGGTGACTGAGTGCGGCTTCGAGAAGGTGGACACGACGCCCCATGCATTTAGGGTTTCTACAATTGGCATTGAAAGTACCAGCCAGGTGGACGGTCAAGTGACGATGTGGATGTGTGATCAAATCTTGGACGTTGGATTTTTTTCTGTTGTCTTGTTTTGTCTCCGTGGTTGGATGATAGGAAGGGTGATTGGAGAAAATAAAAGCTGATTTGACTTAAATACCCTGGCATTTTGTGAGACGAATTTGGAAAGTGACCATGACTTGTTGGAGCGGTGCGTCTTATCACAACGTACTTGTGGTTTGGTTTAATGAAAACTAACTAAAAGTCTTCAAAAAATTTAGTTTTATTAAAAAATGATAAATAAATTTGTAGTAAATAGTAATAAAAAAAATTTTAAATGTAATTTTTCGTTAAAAATGAACAATACTGAAATTGTTTTGTTGAAACTCTGATTTAAACCAATAAGAGATCCATCGAGAGGCAACCCAATCTACCTTTAAACCTAAAACAAACAAAATATCAAGGTTAGCCCAACGCAAGTGCTTAACTTGATTCTTTATGTTGTTTTCAGGAGAAATATGGGGGTAATATGGGGTTTTCAGTTATTTTGTAAGTTTCTAAGGTTGGAATGTGGCATAGATTGATAGTGATTGATTGAAATGACGCAAATCCAACCAAACAATGGCAACAAAAATGAACCACAAGTGTATTTTCACTCTTGAGATTTTCGTTGGGTGCTAAGAATCTAAAGATGACCTCATTAATCTGATGGAAAATGATAAATTAAGTCATGTTAAATTGAAATATAAGACGTGAATAATGCATAAAAGTTATTGTGAATGTGGTGCTTCAAAAAGAAAAAAAGAAGATAAACTATCAATGCATACATTTCGGACCACTTCTAATCTTTTTGAAAGTGTATTTGGACTACTTCCTTGATTATAGCAATAATTCGGATCATTTCTAATCTTTTTAAAAGTGTATTTAGATTACTTCCTTGATTGTAGCAATAATAGCATCACCAATATGAGCATATCATTGACTATTGCTTTTATGATTCGAATATACATCAATTCTCAAGCCGGCCTTGCTGTTATTTGATACATTTAAATGTATGTCATAGTGGTGTATATATTTGATAAGTTATAATATATATCAATAAGATGAACATCAAAATTAAAGTGATTTCAAGAAAACATGTAATTGGTATGCCTATCATTATTGTTTTCTCCTATTTGATCTAAGTATAACCTTTCCATTGGTAGCACTAGTATGGATTGTTATGTAAATAATCTTGTTAATGTTGTTCCTACGTTTATTCATATCTTGTTACTTTACTTCATAAATTCTAAATATGCCACTCATATTTTTTATGCGTGCAACGTTTACTACTTAATTTTGACAAGAACATGATGCTTTTTAACTTTATAGTTGTGACACTTTCTTCCCACAACATTGTTCTAATTGGGACAAATGTTAGAGGCATAATTCACCCCCACTTATATTAGAATCAAACATAGGATGAAGGTGAAAAGCTATCTCCTAGATCTTTTGCACTCTAAGGTACGTGAGACAATTAGAAGACCAATGTGCTATCTCGTGCGTGCGCACCATCCTTCGCAAAGTGTGTGATCCACTTCTTTATTTGAACATCGGATCAATATAATTAACACTTGAAAAGCTAGATTAATTAGGAAAGCAAGATTCCCTTCCTCGTTGAACGAACGACCTAGCCAACCCAATAGAGTTAGGGCCAGTTCACGTCAATTATTTCTACTAGCCGATAAGCACAGAATTAGGCTTGTAATTATGCCAGATGTCCAATGTTTAGTAGGAGAGACTTGGCTTTTTCTTGAATCCCTTGAAAAGTACTTAAACCTTCCAAGCTTTGCTTAAACTTACAGGTTTGTCATTTGATTGTGAAGAGCCTTAGAGACAAATCGTTCAATAATTTCGGCATGGCCAACATTTATCTTGTTGATCCTGAGTCAAGCTCCCTATAAGTCTTTGATTTATCTTATCCAAATTGTGAGTATGTTTGAATGGAGTGGTGGAAAAGTAGACAAGATATAGCAAGAGTTGTTTTCGAGTACTTTCGGGTGTTCAACAATCTTGTTCGTTTGTCAAGACTTTTAGTTAAACAGCGTTTGGGAGACTATATAGCTATCTATCTTTAGTAGTTTTTTATCTTCTTATTATTAGAAGAGGAATGTAATTCGAATGCCATGTCCTATAAATAACGTTTTATATTTTAGTCCCGAATCATTTAGGCTACTTCTCTAGTCTTCAATGAATTATTAGTGGATGCTCTCATTGTTTATGACTGCAACTTATCCTATAGAAGGTGATGACGATTAAAGTAAATTGGGGCCATGCATGTGCTCAGTGTGGTCCATGTCTTCTTTAGTTCTTTTTTATTTTTTATTTTAATTTTTTTTTATGCTATACCACAATAATTCATTTTTTTTGAGCTAAGAAAACTCACAGAGACATTTTAGAGTTCTCCAGGGCACCATTATGTATTCGATATCGCCATGAATTGAAGTCAGGATGTGCCATGTGGAATACAGACTTGAAACTCATCCTCACACTAGACCACTCCGTGATGATTGTCCATATCTTCTTTAGTTGAATTTGTCCATTTTTTAAACATCGCGACTTAGTGGTGGATTCATGATTCGAATCTTGAGTGGTCCCAGTGTTAAAGGTCCAAGTTTTTTAAATAGAAACAGAGGGCGAAGCACGCAAAAAAATTCTTTGAACACTTGTTGTCGAGTGTTGTCCACGCAACCTGTCGTGATATGCCTAGCAGGTATTACATAAAACACTTAACTTAATAAGTATGCACAAAACATTCGGAGGGTTCTCGGAAGAATTTCGCATATATATTTTTTGAACTCCAAATAATCCTGGGATCATCCAAGTCCTAGTGTGCATCTGCCTCTGTCATCATTGATGTATCACAGACGTACAATTATTGAGTAAATTTACATGAATGTACTAATTATTTTAGGTAAATATAACACCCACATACACACACACACACACACACCAAAAAAAAAAAGAAAATAAGCCAAAATAGTTGAATATTCTGAAAATAATTCATATGAAATTGAGTGTACGTGTTCCAAGCATGTCACGTTTATGGGAAGACTTGTAGATAGATTGTAGAGAAATATCAGGACTTTGCATGCAAACTGATTAATTGAGGAGACCAACAGTGACATATTTCCTAATTTATGTATGAATATATAAAATATTTCTTAAGTAGGTATGAATATATAAATATATAAATCAGCGTCACGACTCATGTGCTGGGGAACAACTATACATGCACGTCCACAATAACATTAATTAATAAACAAATATTTGATCAAATCGATCGGCTTGGTGGTTCGAAACTATTTATTTGTCTGCTGAATAAGCATTTCGATATCAGCTTAGCTATCATATATAGTTAGATGAAAATGACATATATATAGTTTTGTGTATAGATGTGCAAGTACGCAATGGGATCTAGCAAGATAATGTTTTGAGATGTGCTTAATTAACTAATTGTTTACTTACTGA